CTGATACAGTCTGACAAGTCAGGGTCAGTCAAAGGTGCCTGTTATTACTGTGAGAACGTTTGCAAAAGGTCAGACGTGACCAACCTGAGCTTTGGCTAGAGAGGTGAAATCCATGCTCCAAGACTGTGGTTTCAGTAAACACCACCTTAATTTAAATTTAAATATGGGCCAAATCTGTGGGAGGCCCAATTAATAAACAAAACACAATACAGTGAAACAGCAGGGCAGTGCTGTAAAAAAAGCCAAATAGATTGATGACACATTAACAACTGCCCTTTGGGTTTTTTTTTTTTTGGGGCAAGTAAATGTTTCAACTAGAAATTATCAATAATAGTAGTTTTATGTTAACAACTTAATATGTTGGGGTGTTTTCAGTTTCATATTTATGTGACGCAATACTTAAATAATGACTCCAACAAGAGCCAAAGAAACAATGGCCTAGAAATCAGTATTTACTTTGGCCTTGTGGTTCTATTACTTTTACAATCAACTGATCAAACATCTTACTGTAGTAAAAAAAAAATCTTACTCAAGGCTTCGCTACTGTAAACTGTGACCATAGGTCAAAGTCAGATTCACAGCTGTTCCAGGAACTAAACAAACTAAACGTTCATTAGTTTATACTCAAATGCAACATCTCTGCTGTAGTTTTCTTCCCTGCAGAGTTTGCAGAATATGTTGGAACGATATCCAAAGTTCACATGGACCGTATTTTGTGGAACCAGTCACTGATGATTCCCTGGTGAGAAATGTGCTGATTCAGCCCTACTACAGGACCAGTGCCAGAAAACACAAATAACTGAAACAGGCTAATTCTGACTTTGTTTCCTAGGCTCATGTATTTCTATACAAGAGCTGACAAATCTGTAAAAGGCTGTGACTCAACTCTTGTTCCCCAATGACCACAATTCTGGGAGTTTTTCCTGCCCGTCTGTGGCAAAGTGTGGGATTTAAAACAGTTTCAGAGACATCACTGTATGATAGACGCTGTAAGGTTTTTGAAAACAAAACAAACCTACAGGAAACAGAGAGAGCAAAGAGAGCAAAGGCCTCTGGTCGAGAAAAGCTTAGGACGGCTGGTTAGCCTGACCTCATTCCCTTTGTGCTGAAGTTAAGGAAGTAATTCATGAAAACAGAAGGAAAAACTCCTGAGTTGTATCAGGTCACACATTTGTACCTTTTTTTAAAAAAAACAATATTAAAATATTCTTATATTATATATTTATGTTATATATATTGTGTTTTTTTAGTATGACTGCAGTGTTACTTTAATAGTTTATAAACAAGAATGCCGTATGATTTTAAAACAAAAACTACAAAGTTGCAGTATGCCTTTAGGGGGAGACTCTGACTGTACAGAACTATAGGTTTTTACCTAGGTTTTTTAGGAGACGTAGTGACCTCAGTCATTGATTGTATCTCCTTCTATAGGAGACGTAGTGGCCTCAGTCATTGATTGTATCTCCTTCTACATTCCAGATAAAGTATGACACATATGAATAGACACTGTCTAATTGATAGCTGGAAATGTCAACAGACCAAAAATATCTCCAGATAATACGTCACTGTGAGGGTGAGGCTACAGTCATCGGCTGTAGGTCGTTGGCCTGTGTTGGAATTGACGTCGGTGGAGCAGGGATCATGAGTCTTCATTCTGATCCACTGTCAGCTGAATTGTCCAATAGTTAGTTATATATTATTAATATTATAAATGTGTTATCATTGTCCTGACAGAGGAACACTCCTCTGATCATTTATAGCTGATGAAGCATGACCTCCTTCTCCTCACTGTGTGGTATGATGGCTGCAAAGAAATGCACACATGCATGGACACACAAAGCCAATTTGTGTCCTTCACTCTTGACCGCAGGGGGTGGGGTCGCCACGACAGAAAACCACTGTGGGCTACTTCAACCCCAAGGTCACAATACCATGTTTCTCAGTTCAGAGTTTACAAGCCCTGGCTGTTAACTCAAACACAACCATAGAGTCAGAGGTGAAAATGTTGTGTTTTAGTGAAAGTTGACAGATCCAGACTACAGCAGATCAAACTGTGCAGAATGAAACTGTTTAATAAAAAAAAAGAAAGAGAGAAAGAAAAAAGAAAATGCTTGTGATGAACACAACATGTTATTTTCAAGTCCAAAAAGATTTACAACAAGTTAGACTGCAGGACAATCCATCACAATGAGGCAGTGAAAACACTGCAGCTTTGTGATTAAGGCGTATGGAAGTGATCAGGAGAGTGCAAGCGTACTGAAGCATGGCGACAAGCTTAACGAGTTCCCCAGGTCCAAGAAATGGGAGTTTTTTTTCTGTTTTCAGTGAGAGGGCTTGAATTCCTCAGCAAATCTTTGCAGCAGTGATGGGTTTGAAAATGTAGCGCCAGCTTTGAAATGAAGAGAGCGGGGCGTTTCTCAGTATGAACCTCCCTGCAGAAGAAACTAATAGAAACCATCTGCTGTAATACCCGACATGCTATTCAGCATCTGGCAAAGAAGGAAGCACTGAGCAGTGCTAGTGTCTGCTACTGCAGGCAGTTAGGAGGACTGAAGATCACACCGTTCATCTTCTTTCTGTCAGTTCTCTATTTATTAATGCTGCTAAAACTGCCATCAAATCTCAAAGACTCTTTAAGGTTCATATGTGTGTTTTTTTTTAACTTACTTGTTAGAGAAGTGTATTTGGCTGTCAATGGAGTTACTCACAGGGACAGAGCACCTCCATTTCATTCACTCACTCACTAAAAAAAAAACTAAAGCTTGTAAAACTCACAAATTAACACGTTTTTTTAAGTTGTAGCTTCACAACAGCAGCTTTTCTAGTAATGTTTCGAGGACAGAAACACTAATAATTCTTTAGATGTTACTGGTAAAAAATAAAATTAAATAAACATGTGGCTTAATGTGAATAAAAAAGATTGAAAGTGTTGTCTGGCAAAATACCCACAGATGCTTACACCTAAGGTAGAGAGTGTTATGGTTTAAACCTGACATGATGAAAACATCAACCACCTTATAAAAAATATTGAGAAGTTGGCTACTTTACTTTAGTTTTAAGTAGATAATGTCTGATCAATGAATTTAGACTTTTAACATTATGTTAAAATTGCCAAGAAAGCTGGGTCTGTATTTGTGTTTTAGGGGAAAAAACACACTGTTTATAGCTATAGCACTGTACATATAAGCTCCAGAGACACAAAGTGGTAAATTAAACCATTAGCTCACAGAGGACCATTTAGTTGCTCTACTGCAGGAATGGCCAACCTGCGGCACAGGAGCCACACAAGGCTCTTTGCCCGGTTTCATGTGGCTCTTACATTCATATCAAATTGTATGTTTGTATTTTTTATGCAAATTACATAGGAAAATTTGCACAGATGAAAAAATGTACACAGGGAGTTTTAACAGGAGGCATTTTTTTCTTTTAATTTTAAAGGGATGGGGCAGTTCACATGCACTGTATATCATGTGGCTCTATGCAGCAACACAGTAAAGATTGTGGCTCTTACTCTCTTGACTGGTTAGCCACCCCTGCTCTACTGCAACAAATGTAAAAACATGGAAATCCATCACTGCAGTCTTAATGGATAAGTCTGACTTAATTACTATCTATATCTATATCTATATCTAAAATACTTTTCTTCAAGCTAAAGAAGACTTGGAATAGCATCAGCAAAGCAATAAATGCAGCCTAAAACATATTCACCTAAATTCCACACTGTGTTCCTTCATTCCCTAATAGTCCACTGGCAAATATTGTTGCAAATTTTAATAAAATGCCTTGGAAGTAATGGAAAATAAATAAATAGATCTATAAAGCTTCCAATTAAAACACTTCTGAAGTTATTCCTACATTTGAAACGGAGTTATAGAACATCGCGTTTGTCTTTGCAGAAAAGTCAACACTGATTTGAGACATACTGTCCATCAGCCAAAGGGTGACCGGTGCCATGAAGGACAAGTGGCTGCAAATGTTGCCAAAACACTACATGACATCCTCCATAACTTAGCTCTAGGCGTGTCAGGAATGGTGCTCAGTAACCTGGAAAACCTGTCTCCATGTAAATGTGCGTACACACACACACACACACACACACACCTCAGCTGACATATGCTCCCTGACTGCCTCAGCAGCCAAGACTAACCGGTTTGCACACACACACAAAAACTTATTATTTAGATCACATCTCTCTGAATGTCACCAAGATATAGTGTTAGTTATTGCCTTTAGTTATAGTTTCCAAAAGCCATGGTGGCTGATCGCCAAGAAAACAATTGTATATAGTGTAGTATAGCTATAAAATCACATTAAAATAATGGGTTCAAAGCCATAATTTCAATATCAAATGTGTGTTTATTTATCTAACTCACAAATAAAATCCCTTTGGTTTTTTTAAACGTCAGATTAGGACCACAATGGTTAGCTTATCATATAGTTACTTTTTGATATTTGGCGTGTTGTTGAACATATTTTTCTTTGATTCCAATGTGTTTAAGCTAAATCCAGTTTCTCATACATGTGACTTTTTTTCTTTAATGACATAAAACTAGATGTATAATTTGTAGACAAAAAAAACTTAATAATAAATAAAGTCAGACTATAGAATTAGTAATCAATCAAATAGGTTTGCATTTATTCTTGATTAAATAATTATGGATACAATTAATGAAACCCAAATTTCACCTTTTATTACTTAACAATGTGTTACTTTTATTTTAATCATGTTACATCATTAGTTTGATCTGAATTTTATACAACATTTTCGGTCATATGGCTCTCAGTCTTCTATCTAATATCTAAAATATTAGCAGAACATTAAAATGAACAAAGACATATTTGAAATAGTTTCCAGGACAAAGAAACGAACCACCATAAAACTCTAAAGAAAACAGAATCAGAAGGACTATAGACTTCAAAGGTCTATAACGTCTGCTGTTGAAAGGCAGGTGTGTGTGAAATGGTCGACTTTAAGTGTATGTAAAACAATAATCACTCACCATCTTCTGTCTTCAACAGTCAAACTCTTCTCTGTTCTCTATCCAGTCTTCGTGTGATCCACACTATTCAGTCAAAACTGTTTTAAAAAACACCGTGAGTATCGAGCTGTGGGCACAAAATCCCAAGTTTACACAATGTAATCCCGGTAGAGCGAACAGAGCATGGATGGACCTCCTCAGCTGTGTCCTCCGTCCATTGTGCGTCTGTTCACATTGACAGCCGCAGCACCGCTCCAAGTAAACACACTGAACTTCTGCTGGCTCATTTAGTGAAGCAGCACTGGCCTCCAGCACCGACTCCACAACAGTAACAGGAAACTGGGCCACGGGCTCCAATCACAGGCCGATCACCGTCCACATGCTTAAATATTCATGAGCTACGCTGCAGCAGAAGTGAGCATGCGCGGTTCTGGGATTTCCTAACAAAAGTTCACAACAAATAAAACAATAAAATGTATTGTAAGAAATAACAAACACCTATACTTGATGTGACCACTCTATCTCTTCAACAAAGCACAATTGCTTCTGTCCATAGAGACATAATTTTTCAAGAATACGGACACTAAGATTTGGGAGAACTAAACCAACTACAGATCTTCTATCCATGTTGGCTGCCTTAAACGTCAATGTCTCCCTCAGCGTGGCTAAGATCAGGCCTCTGTGGGGACCATACCACCATTTCTGGGACATATTGAAAGTGAACTCCTTGTCATTGTCATTCACACCACTGCACACAACCAAATGTGACCTCTGCTTTTAACCCATCACCAAAGTGAACAGTGGGCAGCTTTAAGCGCCCGGGGAGCAGTGAGTGGGGACGGTGTCATGCTCAGAGCACCTCAGTGGTAACTTGGCAGCTAGAGGACTCGAACCTGAAGCCTTCCGGACCACTAAGCCACCACTGGCACATATTGTTCACTTTCTGTTGAAAATAATTCTAAATGACGTTGGCTGAGTACTTGGTGGTGTTTTTCAGTCCCATGATTCTACTCCACCTGTTCTCCTGTTCCCCAATTCTCCTATTCCAGCCTCGAGCTCTTCTCTGGAAGTCACTGTTGGTGTAATATCTGACCTCATTAAGAAATATAATACTAGTGTCTTTCTAAAACAAGCCTGTCTGTCCTCCTCAGCATTAGGGCTGATGCTTATTACACCTGTGTTTTCTAAAGTACTTTACTAAGAGTACTCCTATTTGTTATTCTCTTTGACATAATTCCTAAAAATTTAACATCTGTTTCTCAGTTATGCTAAAAAAAACTCTAACTTGCAACAGATTTGCAACCTCTTTTTGTGCCTACCTCAGTGATAATACTAGGTATTACACAGTTTGCAAAACACAAGGTTGTGGAAAATCAATCGTGTTCACATGGCTCATGTGAAATCATAATGTAGGTTGCATAATGACTTGTTATACCAAGTGCTGGTGTTTCAGTATAACTGGGTTCTGGGTTATATCAAGTTGAGTGTTTGTTTAAGAATGTTTGCCTATAAATTCACTAAAATATCTCTCTTTAGAAGAGGAAATGTCTTTTGAAGTGCATGGGTGGCACTGCTTTTCATTTCTCACAGCCACCCTCCTGCCAGACTAAGGCTTGCCCTGAAATCATGTAGGGCAGTGAGGCGACTCTCTGGGTGTAACCTGTCTAACAGGCTGCCACTGTATGCAACAGACACGCAGACTCAGTGTGTGGGGGTGTGTGTGAGTGTGTGTTTCTGAGCTTTAAAAGCAATGTTGTTCTCCTGTGGCATAAAGAACGAATAAGACGCCGATCCTTAGTAGAGAATTGCTTTGTCGCCCTCAAGTGGAGGTTATGGGCAAAAGCAAAAACAATGATAAGACTAAACTGTTTTATCAAATAAAATCTATAAAATCTCATTCATAGTTTAGTTATATAATATCATATTTTTCACAGGCAGAAACACACATTAATATATAAATTAATCATAAAAATACACAGACAATACATTAAATATCATGGACCTTTTCTTACTGTCTGTTTGAATTTAATTGAAGGGATGTTTCTCTTTTAATTATATTTGTATGAGCAAAGCTTTATGCTTTTTATCCCCCCCCACATTTTTCGCATTTTAATGATAATGAAACACTATCAAATTGAGTCAACTAAAGTAAACTTGACAAAAGTATTTTATGTAAGAACAGTAATTAAGTCTAGCTTCTCAACAAAGAAGATTTTAAATTAAAATAGTCATCTTGGTTATAAAGGGATTGGCCTGACACACCCGTAGCTTTGTGTGTTGTTGGGTGCAATTTGGAGAACTTAAGTGAAGAGTACTACTTTAAAAATAAAACTCCATGCAGCACAGATTACTCAAAGTAACTGTCATTATATAATTTTCTTAAGGCCTTGTCACTCATCATGCTCATTTAATCCTATGGAATTTGTTTGCTTACAGGATAAAAAAGAAATACTAAATGTTTCACTATATGTCTAATACAATAAAAAAGGTAAAAATTCTAGTGTACATTTTTATTAGATTAATGCGATTTGTACACTCAAATGTGTTGTTTTCCCCTATCTGCTCGATTTCTTTACGTTCACATCTTTATTAATCATCCTCTACCTAGCAATTGCCAGATGTATTTTCACCATTTTTTTTGTAAATGTAAATGTATATACAGTATATACAAACCCTTAACTTTAAAGTCAAAACGAACTACCCCTTGGTTTATGTTTCAAATTTAAAAAATATATAGAAAGTGGTGATGACACGAGTCAATTTATATTTTGAAACAAATACGTATATGATTTACCAAAATTATTATGTAAATACAGATGAGACGCGCCCTCGGCCCTCTGGTCCTTCTGCGTCTCATGGGAGTTGTAGTCCAGGGGTGGTGTTTTCGGTTAACGCTGTCAGACTCATTTTTGTTGCAACTTGTGCATCAAAACGTTTTTAGAATCTGGCTTCACGCGCATGTTTTAAACATGTATTTACGCGACAATACGGGTCCTCTTCTTTTGAGTGTTGTTTCATGTTTAGGGAAAAGTTTGACCAAATTAAGTGTGAGAACAGGAGCAGGGCAGCTGAGCCCGGAAGCAGGGCGGGACCTGCGCTCCTTATAAACATGGCCGTTAAGTCCTTTACCGCATCAGGTCCTGCTGCGTGTGGTTGAATTAGTCACAGTTTGAGGGAGTCACCGAGCATAACTAACACTAGGACGAGTGGAAAGAAAATGTGTTGGCACAGCGGGGAGCCGCCATCGTATTTTTATGTTGTAAAGTGAGAGTGAGAACAGCGCTGACAAACTTCCTCTTGTACTTTGTGCTAGTTTGCTAACGAAGCTAACCGAGCCGACGTCTTTTGGATATAATACTTGTGTCAAGTTTTTTTCCCCCCAGCCTGTGGAGTCTAATCTGCCGTTTGACTGTAATGAAGGAGCAGCGCCTCTCACCCGGTCAGTCTGGGTGAAGGTTTTACACACTTAACGTCTTGGATTTCCACTCACAGCTGAAGGCTGAGCCAAACTTTGTTGGAGGTTTCCCTTCGGTTGGTGTCTTTTTTTCTCTCCACTGGCAGCAGCCGCCTGCCAGAGGGCGGAAATAAACAATGTTCTCTGTCAAACCCATGAAACCAACCTTCAAGTGTTATCTTCCTTCGCAGGTATGTGTTAGTTTACTGTCACGGTTCACTGTCTACAGCTGATGGTCACACTACATTTATTGGGCCCGTGGATTTGGTTGTGGAGAAGTGAAGGTCGAGCAGAGAAAGTTAATATTACACTTGTCGCCAGGACCAAGTGGACTTTCCCCACACTGTCTCTTATCTCTTTATATAAGTTTAAGTGTCCATGTTGAAGTGATACAGAGGAAAAGCAGAAGCAGCGAAAATTACTTTGGTTCGAAAGTAAAATGTTAATTAGTCTCGTACCAGTAAATTGTACTTAGACCTGCATAGTCCCAAAAGCAATTTGGGAGAAATGCATTCTATTTTTCTTGATGTTGATACATTTTAGATTTGA